TAACTTCCCTCCCACTCGCACCCCTCCCATCTCCTGCTCCCTCTCCCATTCCATTCACATCAAGATTCATTTTCAATTATCTTTACATACAGAAGATCAATTCAGTATATATTAAGTAAAGATTTCATCAGTTTGTACCCACACAGAAACACAAAGAGTAAAATACTGTTTGAGTACTAGTTATAGCATTAATTCACATTGAACAACACATTAAGGACAGAGATGCTATATGAGGAGTACGTGCACAGTGACTCCTGTTGTTGACTTAACAAATTGACACTCTTGTTTAACGCATCAGTAATCTCTCTAGGCTCTAGTCATGAGTTGCCAAGGCTATGGAAGCCTTTTGAGTTTGCTGACTTCGATCTTATTTAGACAAAGTCATAGTCGAAGTGGAAATTCTCTCCTCCCTTCAGAGAAAGGTACCTCCTTCTTTGATGGCCTGTTCTTTCTACTGGGATCTCACTCGCAGAGATCTTTCATTTAGTTTTTTGGTTGTTGGGTGAAATATTAGTTAGGATTTATTTTATTATATATGTATAAGCCAGAGTGTCTTGACTTTCCATGCCTATAATACTCTCATGGACTCTTCAGCCAGATCTGCGTGCCTTAAGGGCTGATTCTGAGGCCAGAGTTCTATTTAGGACATCTGCCATTCTATGAGTCTGCTGTGTACCCCACTTCCCATGTTGGATCATTCTCTCCCTTTTTGATTCTATCAGTTAGTATTAGCAGACACTTGTCTTGTTTATGTGATCCATTTGACCCTTACACCTATCAGTGTGATCAATTGTGAACTTAATTGATCACTTGGACTAGTGAGATAGCATTGGTACATGCCACCTTTATGAGATTGAATTGGAATCCCCTGGCACATTTCTAACTCTACCATTTGATTCAGAACCTGTTTCAACCACATGAGAGCAGGGCAAAACACTATCCTTAAAAATATAATTGGTGGGGCTGGTGCTGTGGCGCAGCAGATTAAAGCCCTGGCCCGCAGTGCTGGTGTCCCATATGGGCGCCGGATCTAGTCCCAGCTGCTCCTTTTCCAATCCAGCTTGCTGCTGTGGCCTGGGAAAGCAGTGGTGGATGGCCCAGGTGCTTGGGACCCTGCACTCACATGGGAGGCCTGGAGGAAGCTCCTGGCTCCTGGCTTTGGATCGGCACAGTTGCAGTGATCTGGGGGTGAACCAGCAGATGGAAGACCTCTCTCTCTGTCTCTACCTCTCTCTAAAGACTCTGTCTTTCAAATAAATAAAATAAATTTAAAAAAATATATAATTAGTTTTAAAAATTAAATAAACATGGTAAGGCCAACACCATGGCTCATTAGGCTAATCCTCCTCCTGCGGCACTGGCTCCCTGGGTTCTAGTCCTGGTTGGGGCATCGGTTCTGTCCCGGTTGCTCTCTTCCAGTCCAGCTCTCTGCTGTGGCCCAGGAAGGCAGTGGAGGATGGCCCAAGTGCTTGGGCCTTGCACCTGCATGGGAGACCAGGAGGAGGCACCTGGCTCCTGGCTTCGGATCTGCACACCGCACTGACCGTAGCGGCCATTTGGCGTGTGAACCAATGGAAGGAAGACCTTTCTCTATGTCTCTCTTTCTCTCTCACTTTCTAACTCTGCCTGTCAAAAATAAATAAATAAACATGGTAAAATATGGAATAGATGCCATTGAAAGGAGAATTAGTGAAGAAAGACCTGAAGAAATATCAAGAATTCAGCACAGATAACTACTACTATGATAAAAAATATGAAAAAGACATAAAAAAGAAAAATTTATATATGTCTCATTAAGAGTTTTCTAACAAGACACAAGAGAAATACAGATGTAAATCTAAAGAGAAAATGGCTAACTATATTCTAGAACTGATGGACGACATGAATGTTCAGATTTAGGAATTAGAAGTCAATTAAACTTCTTATCTGGTGAAGCATTAAGCCTTTTTACTGCATTGTAAATTTTAAAAATTTTATCTCAAAAACTAAAAAAAAAGACAATGATAGAAGGAAGGATGGTGGGACAGAGTGAGAGGAAGGGAGGGAGAAAGGGAATATCAATATGTCAATAGAATTGTATCTACAAATTATATTGAATCTGTTAAAACTAATTAAAAATGAAAATTAACAAAAGAAGGCAAAAATAAAGATCTGGACACACCAAATGAAACTGTAGAACCATAAAAATAAAGAGATGGTTTCCAAAGCAAACCAGGGAAAAACAGCCTCCAAAGCTCAGAAATCAGACTTCAATAGACGTCTTCAGACAAATACCAGAAAGTTTTGCAGTGTCAGATTCTCAGGTAGGAGCTACTATTAATGAATAAACTTAAGAGGAAAAAAGAAATTGGACACAAAGGTAAACCCTGCAAGAGGCAAGAGTGAGCAGAGGGACACAGGTAAATTGGACAGTAATTGACTCCATAAACTATTATGATAATTACATAATTGAAGATAATTAAAAAGATTCAGTCAACAATGATGTGGTTGAAATTCAGTAAAAGTAGAGGGAAGCTAGATCAGAGTTAAAACAATTTTAGGCTTTTGTATGGCTCTGAAGGAAGATAGGGATGCTAATGAACTTTAAACATCACTAGGTAAATGAGCATCTGATGGTATAAAAAGACATAACAGAGGAGCAACAAGGATAGAATCTGGTGCCCCAACCAGGACTAGAACCCAGGATGCCGGCGCCACAGGCGGAGGATTAGCCTAGTGAGTTGCGGTGCCCACACAGTGATGATTTCTTTAAAGTCAACATTGTTACTATCAATGTGAAACAGTTTGTACATCACAGTGATAAAAAAATTCAGAACTATTCAAATATTTATACTATTTTAAATTAAATTTAATGCATCTAACTTATCTTTCCTTTAATTCATAATTTATTTTTTTAAAGATTTATTTTATTTATTTGAAAGACAGAGTTATAGAGAGAGGTAGAGCAGAGAGAGATGTCTTCCATCCGCTGGTTCACTCCCTAGATGGCCACAATTATCGGCTGTGCCGATCTGAAGCCAGGAGCTAGGAACTTCCTCCAGGTCTCCCTCCTTCCCTCCCTCCCTCCCTCCCTCCCTCCCTGCTGCCTCTCTCTGTTTTTCTATTTCTGCATTGCCTTCCTCCCTCCCTACTTTTTTCTTCTATCTCTCTCTGCTCTCCTTCCTTCCTTCTTTCTTTCCTTCTTTCTTGCCTTTACTTTGGAAAACAGACTTGGTTAGCATTATGAAATTTTGGAAGCTTAGGATCACTGACAACTTAACCTAGATTCAAATACTGATCCATTCATCTGTTAGTGGCATGATTCTGAGCAACATATGTTACCTCTTTGAAGCTTCGATTCCACCTCTGTAAAATGGGGAATGTTAGCATTTATTTAGTGAAGTTATAGGAGAATATTTAAGATTTTAAAAATCATGCAAAATCTCTGACATTTGATGCTACATAATACCTCACACAGTAAATATTGGTCAAGTGAAATGACACATACATTTTGATGCTTCTCTTTCTTTTAGTGCTTCTGGTATGAAGGCTAGCCTACAACAATCTCTTGAAATCTTTTCCCTTTCTCAAATTATGCTGGCTGCCCTTTCTCTATCCCCTTTGGATTGTTTCACTGGTCTTCACATATTTTATGTGTGAAAATATGTTTACTAAAATATATTATCTCTTTTACTATGCTACCTCCTTAGGAATACTTTAGGCATTTAAAATACCTTACTACCCCTCTTTATTTATTTATTTAAGATGTTTTTTCATTTATTTGAAAGTAAGAGTTACAGAAAGAGGAATGACAGAGAGAGTTCTTCCATCCTTTGGTTCACTCTTCAAATGGCTGCAAAGGCAAAGAATGGGCCACAAAAACCAGAAACATGAGACTCTATTTGTGTCTGGCCACATGAGCAGTGGGAACCCAAGTAGTTGGGCCATCTGCTGCTGCTTTCCCAGGTGCACTAGCAAGGAGCTGGATTGAAAGCAGAGCAGCTACGAATCTAGCTGATACTCAGATATGGCATGGCCGTGTCACAAGCAATGGCTTAACCCCTTCTGCCATAAACACTGACCTTGTTACTACAAGGTAAGAGCAAAAGTGATTTACCCAAGTACTTATGGTGTATGAATCCATGATGAGATTAAGATTGAGCCCAATATACCTGATCACAGCGGTTCTTAGTAAACAGAGTTCCAAGTAGGAGCAAGCACTGTGGAGCAGAAGATTAAAGCCCTGGCCTGCAGTGCCAGTATCCCATATAGGTGCTGGTTCGAGTCCTGGCTGCTCTGCTTCTGATCCAGCTCCCTGGTAATGTGCCTGGGAAAGCAGCAGAGAATGGCCTAAGTCCTTGGGCCCCTAAACCCATTTTGGAGACCTGGCTCCTGGCTTCAGATCGGCTCAGCTCCGGCCGTTGAGACCACTTGGGGAGTGAATCAGTGGATAGAAGACCTGTATCTCTCTCTTTCTCTACCTCTCTCTGTAACTGTGTCTTTCTAATAAATACAATAAATCTTAAAAAAAGTTTCAAGTATTTAGTGAACTTTTAAGTTACGATTTTGTGTTTAGTTATTATCTTTAAACTTTTTAATCTTCAACTGCATTACTGTCACCCTAATGATATTGTTATTGATTTCCATCCAAAATCTAGGTCAGATGTATTAATTTATTTAATTCCCATGAGAACCCTATGATGTACTGTTATTATTCTCCTTTTTTAGACAAGAACACTGAGACACAGAGACGTCTAGTGGGTAGCAAGATCACACAATTCAAAAGTGGTAGATTTGGGATTAAAAGTTCAGGCTTCCAGGTTCTGGAGTCAGTGTTGTTAACTGTCATGTTTAGCTGGCACAAAAACATTCCATTCCTGTGTGTGTTGTTTATCCTCACTAGACTGTTGCCTGCTAGTTCACGTGGCTGGTTTTAACTCTGCTTACTCTTCTGTCTCCTCAGGAACTGGTAACTTGCATAGCATAGCCTTCTGATGAGCTCCTCCCCTTTTCTTTTTCAGAGAGTCATTTTCAACATTGTTAATTTCAGTAAAACCAAGAGTCTTTATAGAGATGGAATGGCGCCTATGGTGAAATCTACCAGCAGACCCAAATGGTAAGTGACTCATGGAAAGAGACCTCTTTTTGGTTAGAAAATGTTACTCAGAGCTCAAGTTGATCTTTGCTCCCAGGGCTCTGTCCTAATTCCATTGACCAGAATGAATATTGCTCTTTGAGGATGTTGGGAATATGCTTCCATGGTTAGAATGAAGGATATTATGTAATGAGGGAAGGTACAGTCTGTTATTTGGTAAACTTCCTATCTTGTTTTTCTTTTATTAATACTATCTTTAAAGTATAATGTGGGAACTAGAGAGTTTGGTAGATTTCTCTTGTTTTCCCCTCCTCACCTTTTTGGTATTTTTGAGTAGATATTCTATTTACCTTTTGTGAATGTTAAAATTGTTTGTTCATATTCGATAATGCAGATGAGGAGAGTTTGACAGGATTGCTTGATAATGGTAATGAGAATGATAATACATATTTACAAGTGCTATTTACTCTTGCTGGGCTGAACATTTTACCAGGAAATAAAGATCTTCCTGGTTTCTTTTTACTGCTGTTGATTTAAAATGTATTTTATCTGATCGAAGTATGGCTATTCTTGCTTTCTTTTATTTGGAGAATTTAGTACATTGATATTTAAGGTAATTCTTTATAGGTAAGATCTTACTACTGTCATTTTGATACTTGTTTTGTGTTTTTATTTTTGTTCCTTTCTTTCTCTCTTAAATCTTCATTTGTGGTTAAATGATTTTCTCTATTGATGTACTTTGGTTCCCTCCTCCTCCTCCTCCTCCTCTTCCTCTTCCTCCTTTCTCTCTCTCTCTCTCTCTCTCTCTCTCTCTCTCTGGTAAGTCTATGTTTAGGTTTTGCTTTTGGTTACCTTGAGGCTAATAAACACTTCTTTTGGTTAAACAAGCTATCTTGAAATGATAACAACATTGAATACAAATAAGAAAACAAAACAAAAACAAAGAAATTCTAATAAAACGCTTTATTTGTTTTCCATTCCTCTCAACGTTTTAAAATTTTTAAAACATTTATTTAGGGGCCAGTGCTCTGGCGAAGTGGGTAAGGCTGCCGCCTGCAGTACTGGCATCCCATATGGTGCTGGTTCAAGTCTAAGCAGCTCCACTTCTGATCCAGCTCTCTGCTATGGCCTGGGAAAGCAATAGAAGATGGTCCAAGTCCTTGGGCCTCTGCACCCATGTCAGGGACCCTGAAGAAGGTCCTGGTTCCTGGCTTTAGAATGTCCCAGCTCCAGCCATTGTAGCCATTTGGGGAGTGAGCCAGTGGATGGAAGACTTCTCTATCTCTCTCTTTGCCTGTGTCTCTCTGTAACTCTGCCTTTCAAATAATTGAATTAATCTTTTTTTAAAAAAAGAATGTATTTATTAATTTAAAAGAAACAGAAAGGGAGAGGTCTTATATCCAGTCATTTACTTCCCAAATGGCTGCAAAAGCTAGGACTGGGCCAGACTATAGCCAGGAGCTAGGACCTCCATTTATATCTCCCACATGGTTGACAGGGGTTCCCGTACTTGGGCCATCTTCTGCTGCTTTCCTAAGAGAATTAGTTGAAAGCTGGATTGGAAGCAAAACAGTTGGAACTTGAAGCGGTTCTCAGATAGGGTGTGCTGGCTTTGTAAGTGGTGGCTTAGCACATCGTTCTATATTGCTGGCCCTACATTTTGAACTTTTGATGTTACATTTTCTCTCTTTCAATATTTTCTATCTCAACATTTTAGTGTGCTAATTATATGTTTAAGTCTTCACAGTTAAGATATAAATGGTTTATATACCATTTTAAAAATATTAGGACATTCTGAATTTGTTGATATGGTTACTATTACCAGTGAGTTTTCTACCTTATTATACGTTCTTACTTGCTGACATCCCTTCCTTTTAGTTTGAAGAACTCTCTTTAGCATTTCTTATAATATAGTTCTGGTGGTGATAAATTCTGCTTTTTGTTGTCTAGGAATCCTGAACTCTCTTTCATATTTGAAGGATAGTTTTTCTAGGTATAGTATTTTTGGTAGCATTTTTTTTTTTTTACTTCAGTACTGTAAAAATCTCCTTGTTGCTTCCCCCATAATGTTTATGTTGAAAAGTCTGTAGTCTGGTGAATTGGGACACCTTTATGTGTCATTTGTTTCATTCCTTCTGCAGATTTGAGAATCATCTCTTGATCTTTAACCTTAGAAAGCTCAATTGTAATATATCTGCTGTGGACTAGTGTTGAATCTGAGTAGTGACCTCTGATCTTCCTATACCTGGATATTTGTATCTTCTTCTAAGTTTGAAGGTTTTCTGTCATTATGTATTTGAATATGTTGTGTACTACTTTGGCATTTTTAAGTCCCTGTTGAGTCCCACTAAGTTGAATATATGCTCTTTTCAGGCTACTTCATAGTTCCTGTTAGCTTTCTTTATTGTTCTTGATTTATTTTTCATCGATTCCCTCCTATTATGTATTTTCCAATAGACTATTTTCAAACTCTCTTGTTTCCTCTTCTGTTTGATTTATCTTGCTATTGATGCCTCCTATCATGTTTTTAATTTCACTTAGTATGCTTTTTAGTTGAAAGCTTTCTGCTTGTTTTGTTGAATTGTTTCCATCTCTCTGTTAAATCTCTCTGTTAGAATATTGAAGTTTCTCTGTATCCTGTTGAGTTTTCTTAAAACAGCTATGTTGAGTCTTCATCTGCTCGTTTGGAAACTTCAGTTCCTAATGGTTGATTTCTGGCACCTGATTCTGCTCTTTCAACGAGCTCATGGTTTCCTGGAAGTTCTGGATGCTTGATGGAATGTGATTCATCTGCACAATGAAGGATTAGTTTTTGCACTCTGGCTTTGTTTGTGACTGTCCTTCTAGAAGTTCTAAGCAGTCTGTTCTACTGCTGAGGAAGGCTGTGTTCTATCTGCTGAAGTGGGCTCATTGACTGATATCATCACTGGTGGTACTGTTGAGGTATAAGACTGTTCAACCAGGACCTTGAAACTCCACTGGGCACTGAAACACTTCCACAGGCTCTGTCTGCAGGCACTGGTCTAGAAAAGGGGATTATTATATTCTGCTCAATGTTGTGTTCTGTCAGCCTGACACTGAGTTCCAAAACAATGCCATGATTCCTCGCTGTCTACCCAATATTTTAGGAAGGATGAAAGAAGTAGCTTCTTGGCTACTCAGAAAGCTCCAGGTAGGTCACACTTGTGTGCCATAGTCACCAGGCCCTATGAAAACTTGGGGGTATACACCAGGCCTATGAGAGACTGGTGGTGCTGCACACCAAAATAAGCCTGTCTTGGGATCACAGGTCTCTACCTCATATTAGTGGAAGCCCAGAGACGCTATCCACAGGCGCTGACCCAGGGATAGGAACTTACAGGATCTGCACAGCCTTGGAGGAGGATGATAAGTAGCCCTTTGGCCACTGACATCGGCCCCACTGTGATCATACCTGGGTCTCACAGTCCCTGGCCCCTCAAAGACATAGGAGTGCCCTTCATGTTCCCCCAAAGCTGGCAGTGACACACATCCAAATGAGTCTGACCACACCCGATCCCCAATACCACCACTGAGTGCAGTTCTCTGCAGGCAAGTTTAAAGGCTTTGTTTGTGAACACTGGCCAGGGTCTTTGGGCTTTGTCAAGTGAAGGATCTCAGGATAGTAGGCCCAGCTCTGAGCTCCCTGGCCTCTCCACATAGCTAGAGTTTCACTTTATGCTGGTGGTTTGGGTTTGAGAGGTAGATGCTGCATAGCTGTGAAAACTCCAAGTATTTACTCCATCAGAAAGGGCCTGGAGGCAAGGACTGGTGAGCTTAGCCTGGCTGGATTTTTTTTCTCAGTGGACTTGGTACCATAATTCAGTTTACTTGGTCTCTCCAAATAGGAGATATCTTTATACACTCCTTAGTGCTGGGTGAGGAGTGACACAGCAACTCTTTTCATCTTGCTGTCTTCAAAAACTTTCTTCTGACTATAAGAAGATGAAGTACTGCAGTCTCTCACTTGGATTCTGTAGCTCTTTTGAAGGGGACTTAGTATGTGTATAGCTATTCACATTGGTGTCTCTAAGAGGAAGTGGTAGGCAAAGCTTCCTATTTAGCTTACTGGCTCCCAAAATGAGTTAAAAAAATTTTTTTTTCTTTATTTGAAAGTAGAGTGACAGAGAGAGATCACTCCCTAAGTGGATGCAATAGCTGGGACTGAGCCACGGTGAAACTAGGAGCCAAGAACTCCATAGTGGACTTCTGTGTGGGTGGTAGGGGCCCAAGCACTTGGACTGATTTTTGCTGCTTTCCCAGAAGCATTAGCAGGGAACTGGATTGTAAGTAGGGCAGATGGGACTCAAACTGGCACTCTGATATGGGATCCCACTGTTGCAAGCATGTGGCTGTTTAACCTGCTCTTCCACGCCAGCCCAAAAATGAGTGTTTTAAAAGACAAAAGTTACATACTATTCATCTATCACACAGTAGGTTTTAAATGAGTGCTCGCTGAACTGAATTGAATTTGTTATGAGAATTTACATGTAAAGTGCCTGGCACTTGCTAAGTGTTCAATAAATGTCATTTATTATTAATAGTATTATGTAAAATACTGTGCAAACGCAAGGAATTGTTAATATTATTCTAGCTTTGATCCCTGTTCAAATTTTAATGACTAGTGAGAAGATAGTCTCTGAATGTCTATATTTATAGAAAACTAGCGATTCATAAATATTGAATTGTGCTTTTATCCACAAGTGATACTTGGCAATTTTCTATAAATGCTATGCTGAGAAGCTCAGGTTTGTAGAAGTGTAACTATTTGATGATGATAGAGAAAACTGTTTATTAAAAGGTAAAAATATCTTTCTGGGCATGTTTTTTGCTTTGATGCTTCAGATCAACTAAAATACTGATCCTTCACTCAATGTCCTTTGATAGCGGGATCTGGGCAAGAGACTGGCCTTTGCTTTGAGTCTCTGAATCCAGCCAAAGTAAATAATAGAACCAATCTCTCTGTTAATACGCATATGTGTAGATGAGTACTTCCAACCTTG